ATGAGTTTCATTATGGAATGCTGACCCAGATTGTTCGAATTATATTCTGAATTTGGAAACATATCTGGCCCCACAGGTTTTAGGCAAGGGATTTTGAACTTGTAATACATTTTTTTGGATGATTATTTATTTAATATATATCTCTCCCACTAGACTGTAAGGTCCTTTAAGTCAGAGACCATGCCTGTGTTTCTTCATCATTTTACCTTTACTGTTTAACTCAGTACATAGTAAATAATTTATAAATGTTTGTAAAAAGAATGAATGAATTTGTCTTAACTTGAACCATGGTGATCAAATGTAATAAATCACATAAACGAAGTATCATGAAACAAAAAAGTATTGTATTTAGTAGGATATTGGCTTGCCTAAGAATTTTCTCATTGTTTTACTTATTGCAGGTGATTCGTTGGAAAAATTCATTGTCTCTAGAGATTGTCAACTTGGTCCACATCACCAGAAATCTAACTCCCTGAAACCTCTTTCTATGTCCCAGCTGAAGCAATGGAAACATTTTTCTGGAGATCATTTAAAAATTACAGATCCTTTTCTTGAAAGAATAACAGAAAATGTGTCATTCATTTTTCAGAATATAACCACTCAAGCTACTGGCACATAATGAAAGATTACTTCATGACATTCCATTGCTCTTCTTTTGAAAATTAGTATGGTAATTAAATGTACTATTTGAAAATTAATAGAATTATTTAAATTACAATATGTGTTGCAAAATATATTACTTTTGATACAACAGTCAAAATTGAGTGGTTTAAGTTTTTGTAAATATTAAACGTTTAAATGAAAAATTAAAGATGTGCTTTTATCATTGTATAATTGTTAATAATTCCTTGATTAATATGCTTTCATTAAGTATTTACTGAGAAATTGTTATGAGGAATATAAAAAGGTAAAAATACTTAGTCTCTGTCTTTGGGAAAACTAATCTGATTAGAAATATTAGATGTTTGAAACAACTGAAAAACTTGGTAAGTTTAAAATGTAGCTCAAAGGAGGAAGAGAATGAGAGGCTAGGATTGCAAATGCTAAAGATGTTGGATGTAATAGTTGCTGCAGGGCAGTTTGAGCAAGAAAAGTCAGTAGGTTATGCAGGAGATGAAGGGTTTGGGAACACTTTAGAGCACTAGTTCCTAGTTTGGGACCTCAGACTTAGGCAGTTTATAAAGCCATGTCCACCAAATATTGCTTATGCACTGCATAAACGTTCAAATACCATCATTTAAGGGTTATCTGGAGTAATTTTTGACATTGAAAAGAGTGTTTTTTAGCTGTGCACAGTGGCTCCAGTTTGTAATCCTAGTTACTTAGTAGGTAGAGGCAGGAGGATTGCTTGGGACCAATAGTTTGAGACTAGCCTGAGCAACATAGTGAGGCTCTGTCTCTAAAAAATAAACTTACCCAGGTATGGTGGCACATGCCTGTAGTTCCAGCTACTTGGGAGGCTGAGGCAGGAGGATTGCTTGAGCCTAGGAGTTTGAGTTTGCAGTAAACTATGATTGGATATGATCCAATATCCATCGGGTGACAGAGTGAGACCCCATCTTAAAAGAAAAAAAAAAGGGGTTTAATGTACAAAGCAAGCTTTAGAAGACTGAAGCTTGCAAAGAGAAAGGAGTTACTAATTTAATTTCCAAGTGGGGCTTCTGTAATTAGCTTTTGTTTCCATTTAGGAAAATTTCCTTTAGATGGAAAATACAGGTATACCCTGGAGATATTGCAGGTTTGGCTACAGACCACTGCAATAAAATGAATATCACAATAAAGCGAGTAACACATTTTTTTGGTTTTCCAGTGCATATGAAAGTTATGTTTATGCTATAGTCTACTAAGTATGCAATAGTATCATGTCTGAAAAATGATGTATTTTCCTTAATTTAAAAATAATTTGCTAGAAAATGCTAACGGTCATCTGAGACTTTAGTGAGTTGATGTCTTTTTTTTTTGTTTTTTGAGACGGAGTCTTGCTCTGTCACCCAGGCTGGAGTGCAGTGGCACGATCTTGGCTCACTGCAACCTCTGCCTCCTGGGTTCAAGCAATTCTTCCTGCCTCAGCCTCCCAAGTAGATGGGATTACAGACATCCGCCACCATGCCCAGCTAATTTTTGTATTTTTAGTGGAGACAGGGTTTCACCCTGTTGGTTAGGCTGGTCTTGGACTCCTGACTTCAGGTGATCCACCTGCTTTGGCCTCCCAAAGTGCTGGGATTACAGGCATGAGCCACCATGCCCGGCCTGATATCTTTTTGCTGGTAGAGGGTCTTACACTGATGTCAATGACTGCTGACTGATCAGGAACCTGGTGAAGGTTGCTGAAGGCTGGGGCGGCTGTGACAATTTCTGAAAACAAGACAGCAACGTTTGCCACATCAATTGACTCTTCCTTTCACAAAAGCTTTCTCTGTAGCATGCGATGCTATTTGATAGTATTTTTCCCACAGTAAAAACTTTCAAAATTGGAGCCAGTCCTCTTGAAACCTGCCACTGCTTTATCAACTAAGTTTATGAATATTCTAAATCCTTTGTGGTAGTTTCAACAATGTTCACAGCACCTTCACCAGGAGTAGATTCCATCTGAAGAAACTACTTTCTTTGCTCCCCTATAAGAAGTAACTCCTCATCTGCTCAAGTTTGGTCATGAGATTATAGCAATTCAGTCAAATCTTCAGACTCCACTTTTAATTCTAGTTCTCTTCCTGATTCCACCACATCTTCAGTTACTTCCTCCACTGCAATCTTGAACTCTTCAAAGTCGGTTATGAGGATTGGAATTAAGTTCTTCCAAACTCCTGTTAATGTTGTTATATTGATATCCTACCATGAATTGCAAATGGTGTTTCTTTTCCAGAAGGTTTTCCATTGATTTTGCTCAGATCCATCAGAGGAATCACTGTCTATATGGTCATAGCTAGCTTTACACAATGCAATCCTTACATAATATGACTTGAAAGTTGAAATTACTGCTTAACCCATGTACTGCAAAATGGATGGTGTGTTCACAGGCATGAAAACAACATTGATCTCCTTGTACATCTCCATCAGTGCCATTGGATTACCAGGTGCCTTGCCAATGAATAGTAATATTTTAAAAGAAATATTTCATTCTGAGCAGTAGGTTGCAACTGTGGGCTTAAAATATTTAGTAACCCAGACTTTAAACAGATGTGCTGTCACCCAGGCTTTGTTGTTTCATTTCTAGAGTAGAGGGAGAGTAGATTTAGCATAATTCTTAAGAGCCCTGGGATTTTTGGAAGGTGGCTTCAGCTTAAAGTTACTAGCTGCTTTAGTCCCAAACAGAGTCAGCCTGTCCTTTAAAGCTTTGATGTCAGACATTGACTTATGTTCTCCAGCTATGAAAGTCCTAGCTGGCATCATCTTTCAATAGCAGGCTGTTTCTTCTACATTGAAAATCTGTTGTTTAGTGTAGCCACCTTCATCAATGATCTTAGCTAGATCATTGATGGATAACTTCTGGATAACTTGCTGCAGCTTATCCATCAGCACTTGCTGTTCACCTTACACTTACATGATGTGGAGACAGCTTCTTTCCTTAAATATTACACTAGCTTCAAACTCTTCTGCAGCTTCCTTACCTCTCTCAGCCTTCATGGAACTGAAGAGATTTAGGTCCTTGCTCTGGATTAGGCTTTGGGAATATTGTGGCTGGTTTGAACTTCTTTCCAGGCCATTAACACTTTCTCCATATCAGCAATAAAGCTGCTTCACTTATCATTTGTGTGTTCACTTGCAATTTCCTTTAAGAGCTTTTTCTTTGCATTCAGAACTTGGCTAACTGATGCAAGAGTCCTAGCTTCTAGCCTGTCTTGGCTTTCAACATGCTTTCCTCACTAAGCTTAATTCTGTGTAGCTTTTGACTTAAGGTGAAAAATATATGACCTTTCCTTTCACTTGCACACTTAGTGGCCATTTCAGGATTATTAATTAGCTGAATTTCAATATCGTTATGTCTCAGGGAATAGGGAGGCCCAAGGAGAGGGAGAGAGATGGGGTAACCAACAGTTGGTGGAGCAGTCAGAACACACACAACATTTCTTGATTAAGATTGCTATCTTACATGGGCATAAGTTATGGTGCATCAAAACAATTACAACAGTAATATCAGAGATCACTGATCACAGATAACTCTAACAGATATAATAATAATGTCAAAATTTGAAATATTGCAAGAATTACTAAAATGTGACAAAGACATGAAATGAGCACGTTTTGGGGAAAAGTGTCACTCATTTGCTTGATGCAGGGTTGTCAGAAACCTTCAATTTAAAAAAATCCTGGGAACCACAATAAAATGGGTTATACCTGTGTTGTCTTGAGGTGTGAAATACTCAATTATGTATAATCAAGGATGAATTCTTTTAATTTGTAGTGCCATACCTGGGTAGCTAGCTGTACATCTAGGATTCATGAACAGGCAGTTTGGGACCAAATTTGTCAGTGAGGAAGTAGCCAACTAATAATAAGTAAAAATGGTGTTTCTTGGCCCCATGTGTAGAATTCATGTATAGGCTTTACATATAACTTTTTTTTTTTTTTTTAAGAGAGAGGGTTTCACTATGTTGCTGGACTGAACTAAACTTTCAATATCTATCTTGCATCATATTCTTTTCAGGCATAAAGTACTTAAAAAACATTGATAAAGGACAGGTAATTCTGCTTATCTTTTTTTTTTTTTTAAACTTTATTTATTTATTTATTTATTTATTTTATTATTATTATTATTTTTTGAGACGGAGTCTCGCTCTGTAGCCCAGGCTGGAGTGCAGTGGCCGGATCCCAGCTCACTGCAAGCTCCGCCTCCTGGGTTCACGCCATTCTCCGGCCTCAGCCTCCCGAGTAGCTGGGACTACAGGCACCCGCCACCTCGCCCGGCTAGTTTTTTGTATTTCTTAGTAGAGACGGGGTTTCACCGTGTTATCCAGGATGGTCTCGATCTCCTGACCTTGTGATCCACCCGTCTCGGCCTCCCAAAGTGCTGGGATTACAGGCTTGAGCCACCGCGCCCGGCCTATTTATTTATTTATTTATTTATTTAATTCACATAGTTCCAGCCACTCTGCAACTGCTGCCTGTCTTAACTGTGGTGGATGCAAGGGTGTGCTGCCCAGATTGCCCCTTTCAGAACCAAGGAGCGTGTTTCCCCAGCTGCCAGAAGAAGCATCACCTGTGGACCACCTATAACCAAATCTTCCCCAAGAATAGCCCTCAGCTGAGAGGATCTGCCTCACCCAAGATTATGCTCCTCCCCTGGTTGGCTGACATTTGGTGACTTATCTCAATTGAAGACAAATCTGTCAAAGGACCATTTCAGCTCCTTAGGTAAGGGTGCTGGGCCCTATTTTTATAGTAGATAGCTGTTGTTCTCCATAAAGTTGTTTGCCAAGTAATGTGGGAAGTAACCTTCCATCCATCTCTCTGCCTTACTCTGAAATCTTCCAGTATGAGAGTGATTTTGCAGTAGAAATTTCAGAAGAGGCTGAATTTCATGGGAGAACCCATGTCACATGGAATAAAGGTAGCATATGTGGCATGGGATCTCAGAGGCTGAGAAGTATAGAAGACAGCCCTCTGGGAATTGAGGAAGACTTTGGACTTCGACAAGCCAGGGATTTGTGGGGGTTTAGACTCATTTTATCCACATGTTAAAGGACCTTAACACCTGGTTTGCACATATAAAGCAACTTTTCTGTGAGAGGTGCTGTTCATAAGAATTTTCCCTTTTTCCCTTTCTCTATGCTCCCAGTCCATACACTCATGCGCTCGCACGCTCTCCCTCTCTCTCTCGGTGGAATCCTTTGAGGATGGGGATTTAATCTTATCCTAATATTTTCAGGACCTTGTATGGGACCTGGCATAGAATAGCTAATTAGTAATTGAATGAATGAATGAGGTACTTTACCTCTTTTACTTCTTTAACCACCATGATCATGTTCCTTGCTCATAGATCTCAGTTTCAAGGTATTTATTCAGGCCAACTGCTGAGCATGGAGCTGTGCTCAACACTGAAGAAAGCAGAGCCAGCAGTTTTTTCTTGCCTCTGACAGCATCCAGACTTCCCTTTTTGCTTCTGCGATCTGTCAATCTGCTGCATGAGCTGACAGAAGCTGTCACTGCAATGGGTAATAATGTAAGTCACATACATAATTCATTTCTAATTACACAAATACACCTTTCACACAGCTTTATGTCATAATGTTCTGGCTCTAAACGACAATGTAAATACATTTCAATCACATTCTCATTAGGATTGAATTACTAAAGGTGAATTTAAACATGAGCAGCTCTGATCTGCAGAATTAAACTTCTAGACAGTCTATCCATCCATTTAAAATGGTGTATGACAAAGGAGCAAGTGAAAAAAATCTGGCTGGCATTTCATTTGAGTGGCTCAATTATGGCCTACAGTCACATTGCCTGAGCAACTGTGTCTTAATATTATGTTGGCAAGATTAAAATTTTGACTGTGACTCACAGCAAACAACATGTATAATTAGCATATGGCTTTGTTTTTCTGACTTGTTCCCAAATTAATATATTGTATCCTAGAGGGATTTGTAGATATGCTATTTTGGTATTCAAGGAAGGCTTCAACATGACTTGGTAGAAAGGGATATTATTTTGTCTTACCTTGTATGATATAAATGTTTTTGGTTTAGACCAGTTTCCTATGGCACTTTTCTATAGCTAACCTGTGATCTTTGTTTCAAACCATTACAAACTTCTATCCCTAAGATATTCTGTTGTTCACAAAACCATTACTAATTCAGAATATAGCTTTTATGATGTAAAAATTGTAAAAAAAAGAAAAAAAAAGTGCCTTGACAGACAATAGTTTGTTGGAGTTTGTTACACTTACTTGAAAACCTGAAGTGTTTGGTGTAATTTAATCTTTACAATTTTTTTAAGATTTATTAAAAAATTATTTTTTTGAGTAAGAAGGTAATAAAATTCCAAAGCAGACCAAAATTAACAATTCCTTTATTTTTGTTTTTTGAGGAAATGTAAACAAAATACTGAAGACTTTTTTTTGAATAGTTAAAAAATATATAACATCATAGATATCTACAGCATAAAAATTCCGGCCGGGCATGGTAGCTCACACCTGTAATCCCAGCACTTTGGGAGGCCAAGGTGGGCAGATCACAAGGTCAAGAGATCAAGACCATCCTGGCCAACATGGTGAAACCCCATCTCTACTAAGAATACAAAAATAAGCTGGACATGGTGGTATGTGCCTGTAGTCCCAGCAACTTGGGAGGCTGAGGCAGGAGAATTGCTTGACCCAGGAGGCAGAGGTTGCAGTGAGCCGAGATCATGCCACTGCACTCCGGCCTGGGCTACAGAGCAAGACTCTGTCTGAAAAATAAATAAACAAATAAAAAATAAATCCTTTGTACCTGCAACATATTTATTTTCACGTATTCCTTTTTTTTCTTTTGAAGTAGAGATAGGATCATGCTATGTTGTCCAGATTGGTTTCAAACTCCTGGCCTCAAGCTTCCTGCCTCTGTCTCCCAAAATATTGGGATTACAGGTGTGAGCCACTGTACCCATTCCCTGTTTTATTATTAAAAATTTCATCTCTGGGGGTATGCATAGTTTATGTAGTAATTATAGATGAAGTTAGAATTTGAAATTGGGAGTCAAAATCCTTCCTGAGTATTTCTGGATGTGTCTGCGAGAGTGTTTCCAGGAGAGATTAGCCTTTACCTCTAGAAGAGATTTGCTTTACCAGCGATGTTTGTATCATCCAATCTTTTGAGGACCTGAATAGAATGAAAAGGCAGGGAGGATAAAAGCACTTTCTGTTTGAGCTGGAACATCCATCTTCTCCTATCCTCTGACATCAGAGCTCCTAGTTCTCGGGCCTTTGGACTCAGACTGGGACTTAAACTATCACCCATGTCTTTGTTCATTTGAGGTGCTACAGCAAAATACCATAAACTGGATAGCTCATAAACAACAGAAATTTGTTTCTTACAGTTCTGAAGGGTGGGGAGTCCACGAACAAGGCACCAGCAGAGCCAGTGTCTGGTGAGGGCCTGCTCTCTGTTTCATAGATAGCACCGTGTAGCTGTGACCTCACATGGTGGAAGGGACAAGGAGTCTCTCTTGGGCCTCTTTTATAAAGGATTAATTCTGTTCATGAGACTCTGCCCTCATGACCTGATCACCTCCCCAGGACCCCACTTCCTAATATCACATTGGTAATGTGGTTTCAACATATGAATTTGGGAATGACACAAACATTCAGACTATAGCAACCCCTTACCCCCTTTTCAGGCCTTCAGACTCAGGCTGAGACAGCAGATTTTTGGGACTTCCTGCCTTCTATAATTATGTGAGTTGATTCCCAGAATAACTCTCTCTATATATATCTATATATCTCTTTCTATTTATCTTCTATTGGTTCTGTTTCTCTGGACAATTCTGACCAATACAGATGTATACTGCTGTTTAGCATCTGAGTGGAACAAAATTACAACTGCTACATTTGTTTAAAGAAAACCTATAGGAATGTCAATCTAATGCTTCCATCTCTTACATAAATATAATGGTGCTAAGTAAAAGTTTAGTATTTATAAACCTCTGTTTATTATGTATATAGTATAGCCATTATGGACTAATATAAATAAATGAGATAAGATAGGATCAAAGGTTTTTTGAAACAGACCAAAATGAACGTGTGAAAATCAGGTGCTTGAAACATGTGATAACCTACATTTATTTATCTCTTTAAAGTTAAGTGGTTTGCTCCTCACAACAATGCTGAGAGTTGAACAGAGCAAATACTCTATTATCTCTGTTTTACAGATTTAAGGCTTACAGAGATTAAATAATTATTCAAGATCATTCAGTGACAGAGCTGAAATTTGAACACCAGCCTCTCTTTTACCTCAAAATCTGAAGCTCTTTCCAGTGCACTGTCCTGCCTTTTCTGTGATTTCACCATGCCAGGTTCCTGAGACAGATTGTAAATGCAAGAAAAAAATGAACTAATGCGAGTGTTTCATATCATGTTCTCTTTTCAAGTGAATTAATTAAAGAATTGGGTTTTGGATTAAAGTGTGTGAATTTCATGAGATCTGAATCTTATGTTTATCCTTTCACAGAACAATAGACATGGTATTTTAACATTGAAGCAGTTGATTTGATTGACTACCCTTTCTGCTCAGATTGCTCAAACCGACAACTCACAAGACAAAAACACAAGGTCACAAGACACTGTGGGCTGCATCCAGCTTTAGGTTTACTCATCTTTAAGAAAGCATACACACCAAGCAACGAGAAAGCAAGGATTGCAAAAGCAGAGTGGAAGTCTTACGAGTCCAGGCTAGGCTTCCAAATATCTCAGTCTCTCCGTACCAAGGATACATGTGGTCATGTGAGACAAGACTGAATGTGTGTGGAAAACCACCATTAGTGGGAGCTATCAGCTCTGGGATTCTTTCAGCTTTCATACTTTGTTAAGGTGGGAAACAAAAAGTATACATGGAGGTCAAAATATCCCTTTCATTTTTTTATAATAGCTTACTTGATTGACTTGACTTTACATCTGTTACCCAAGTGGGTTGTTAATACTGAGCTCTGTCCTACCCACGAGGAAATGCTTCCCAGGTAAGCTTCAGGGTTTGGAGGCACAGAAGAAGCTTGTGTTTTTTGTTTTCTTGTTGTTGCTGTTTTTGAGATAGGATCTTGCTCTGTTGCCCCAGCTGGAGTTCAGTGGCACTATCATAGCTCACTGCAGCCTCAAACTTCTGGGCTCAAGGTGACTTCCTACCTTAGTCTACCTAGTAGCTGGGACTATAGGCATGTGCCACCATGCCTGACTAATTTTATTTTACTTTTTGTAGAGATAGGCTCTCGCTATGTTTCCAGGGCTGGTCTTGAACTCCTAGCCTCAAGCAGTCCAGCCACCTTGGTGTCCCAGAATGCTGGGATTACAGGCAAGAATCACTGCACCCTGCCTTGAGAGCTTGTGTTTTCTACAAGCAAACTCATTTCCAGGAGGAAGAAGGTGGAGATATTTCCCTTTTTTTAAAAATTTTTTTATCTTGCAGTTTTTTAAAATTGAGGTAAAATTCACATATTATAAATAATAATTAAAAATTTATTGAAGTGAAGTTTATGTAGCATAAAATTGATTATTTTTTTTCAGAGTTTTAAAATGAATTTATTAAAGAAGGTTCTTAGGAAGGCAACAACTTTTGTCATTAAAAAAAGTTATTTTTTTCATGCTGTATAATAAAGGTAATGTAAGAGGCTACAGAGTTACAAGTTTCTTTCTACTGGAATTCTCTGGTATAGCACAGTGTAGTCATTTCTGCAGTTCTAGAATAAATAAAAAGTCTCTTCTATGCTTCTCTTCAAAAGCAATGAATAACAGAAGATGGCATAAAAAAGCCATATTTTTTCTATTCATTCTGTAGTATTGGAGCCAGTATTTTTACCATCACAGGCTACAATTTTCACTTTATCCACTTTAGTAAGTTCTGTCATCTCTGAATTCAACATCATTCAATACAAAAGTCCACACATTATGGCAGAATCTGTATGTATTTAGAGAGCCCCTGAAATTGACTCTGTTCCTGACCCTCTGAGCCAATGCAGAATTTATAGCCTTATCAAACTGAAGTAGAACTTGAAGGGCAAGTTGGGGAGTGATCTGTTGAGACTGTATGAGCTCATCTAGGCTTTCCTGAAGACTGTTTCTCAAAGTGGTATTTCTGTATAACTGATATGCCATGGCTTAGGAGGAAGAATTTGTTTTTCTTATTCAAGCTTGCATTGATGTTCTGTGGGGAAGGCGCTTCCCGCCGCGGAGCGAAAAGAAGCCGCCATGAGCCTGGCAGGAGGTTCCTACTTCCCCGACCACCTCTCCAGCCACCGCAGAAAACCCTAAAATTGATTATTTTAAAGTGAACAATTCAGTAGAATTTAGTACATTCACAGTGTTGTTTAGCCAACACCACTGTCTTATTCCAGAACATTTTCATCACCCCCAAAAGAAACCCCATACCTGTAAGCATTCACTGCTAGTTCTGGGATGAACTGTGACCATCGTGGTCCCTTTCATCTTCTGCTCTAAAACGGCAGCAAGGGAAGGAGGGTGACTGAACTTTTGAGGTTCTGTAGAGGTTGTTCCTCAGGGCCATGAAAGTAGGGTTGGGACGGGAAGTGACGGTGCACTGAGCAAGGTTCTAGTGGGTCCTTTATCCCACCTGCTGGTTGTCAACAAAGAGTTCCAGTGACTTCTACAGCAGGCCTGTTTTCACTTTCCGTTTGTATTAGTCAGAGTTCTTCAGAGAAACAGAAACAATATGAGATCTCTATATATCTATATCTATATCTCTATATCTATCTATATACTTAGGAATTTATTTGTTTTAAGAAATTGGCTAAAGGAACTGTAGGGGCTGGCAAATTGAAAATCTGTAGGGTAAGCCAGCAGGCTGGAAACTCAGGCAGAATTTCCATGTTGCAGTTTTGAGGAATTCCTTCTTTTGGGAACCTCAGTCTTTGCTTTTATTACTTTCAGCTGGTTGAATGAGGGCTACTCACATTATAGAGGGTAATCTGCTTTACTTAAAGACAACTTAGTGTAAATGTTAACCACATCCACAAATACCTGCATGGCAACCTCTAGACTAGTGTTTGACCAAACAACTGGGCACCATAGTCTAGCTAGGTTGACATAAAATTAACCATCACATCATTTACTGTTACTTATTTTATTTTAAATTAATAGCAGCTGTGTAATACTCATTGCGTGCCAGGGACTCTTCTAAGTGCTTTATGAATATTCATTTAATATATATATATGCTTATTAACAAGGACCCATTATATGTACTTGAATACAAATCTTAGGGTATAAATACAAGTTCATGACTTGTTAGTATGGTTCACCAAATACTTGTTTTTTCCTCTTATTTATATACCTTTTGTTCATGCTTAATCTCAGTCACTAAACTTTTTATTTGGACTTATTTCCCTGGGTATCCTCTAATGACTTTTTCCTGGGCTGTTCCCTTTCCCCTAGCATTCTTGGACTCCCTGCTCCTATTTTGTGGCTGTAATTGTCAGAAAACCTGTAATACGGGGGCTTAAGTGAGGTAGAAGTTTATTTCTCAGGTGAAAGTCTGGGACGGCAGTCTGGGCTGGTGTGGTAATTTCAGTCGCTGGGGACCCCAGCTCCTAGCTTGTTGTGGCTCCCCAGTCCCTATTATGCAGCTTCCACCTTGTGTTATGCACTGGCTCCAGCAATCACATTTGCATTTCAGCCAACAAAAAAGAGAAGGAGAAGACTTCCTCTTAAGGGCTTATTCTCAAAATTGCATACCACACTTTCATTTACATCCCATTGATCAAATTAACCACATGGCAAGGTGGAGATATTCTTAATAAATTTACCAGTCAGAGAAATCACTATCTCCCAAGGGCAAGGGTGAAACAGGTTGCAAAGGGAGGCCAGGAGTTAAATAAACTGAGCTCCCTTCACCAGAAAGGTGAAGAAGCACTTCCCTCTGACAATGGACAGTCAGCACAATTTTAATGACACCAATGGATGTAAAGCCATTCACTAGATACTGGGTATGGTGGGGAGTGTGGTAGAAAAAGTAGTTTATAAGAGCTTTGCAAAGAACATTGGTGTACCTATAGGCTATGGTTTTGGTTTTTGTTTTTGGCATTGTCGAATTTGTTATCAAGTTTTGGACTGAGTGATTATTTATATGATTGTTATTTAATCTGTCATAATGAGAGCAGCAGTAGTGCTGATAGCCTGTGGCTTATATCAGCGCTTTAGAGATGTTAACAAGTAATGACTATTTTCTACTGTTAGCAATAACCGTAGCAATAGTGTGTCACATTAACCTTTATCCTCTGAATCCTATTCATATTTTAAATTTCAATCACTAGCAAAGCATACGCTGCTAGCTTTATTATCTGAAACCAGCTCCTCTAATCTTTCTTCCTTTATTCAAACCTCTACCTTAGGAGGCAACCATCAAGGAGAAGCCTTGTGTTTTCATCATGAGGCCTCATTAAACACGATAAGGTTGGAATGTAGCCAGATTCCCCCCGAATGGTTGGCCTTGGAAATCAGTTTCTAATTCAGGGGGCATCAAACAAAGTGGCTCTAAGGCAGCTGTGAGTGATGCTTTTTTTTTTTTCCTTCCTGGCCTTCATGTTCTCTTCTACTCAGTGGCTAAACTAACTTAAGCTGGCTCACGCATTACACCAGAGTCCAGAGGCAGTTAGGAGGGGCCACAGCTCTGGCCAAGTCAAGGGCATGCCAGCTGGAATAAGGGACTTGGTTTATCACACAGAGCAGCCACTATCCTGCTCAGTCTAGTGATTAAGGAGAAGTTCCTGGGGCAGAGATTAGGGAAATTAGGAGTGGGCAAGTGTAAGAAAGCAAGAGGAAGGTGAATGGGGTGGCCAAAGCCCCTCTTCAGACCCCAGTTCATGGGCTGATTTATGAAACCAGGTTATGGGCCTCTCTGAACTTCTGGCTCAATCCTGAGGTGCCTGGGTGTGTGTGTGGAAGGCCCTCTGGCAATGCCTAGGGTGATGGAAACATGGTACCTAATACTAGAGTATCTACTTCTGATTATTTGGTAATTTTGCTCTTAATTACCAAAGGAAAAAATTATTTATTACCTTTTCCCTTCAGTCTTCTCTCGCTCAGAGTCTAAGTTAAAAATTTCACAGTGGCCTCCAGGCCTAATATGATCTGGCTCTATTATCTTTCTGACCTCATCTCCCCTTTGCTAACAACACTTCATTCCCACTGTCCCCCTTGCTATACCTTAAATGCTGAGTGTGCTCCTGCCTCAGTTTTTCCCATGGTGTCCTAGAGCCTGACCCATGGTGAGTACCTGCTTAGCAAGTTGTTGAGGGCTTGAAGAATGATCTGTGGTGTCCAACCTTTCTATGGAAACAAAGGGAAATGTGGGACAGGGAAAGACCATTGGATGAGTACAAACACTTTCTCTGTAGTGGAGGCACTAAAAAGTGGCTTTGAGATCAGTTAGTTATATTGTCATATTGTCTTTGGCGATAAGATTCTTAGAAGTGGTTATGCCCTTAAAAGATGGGAAAGAGCTACATGATTCAGAGGGTTGACCAAATGCCAAAGAGCATTGCTGTCCATTTGTTTCCCATACACTGTGAACCACCATTGACTATGCAGAACTAGAGCCTTAAAAAATATAATAGGCAATAAAGAAGGCTTTGGTGCCTGTGTATTGAGATGGGATTGAGATCAATAAATTTTTCTATCACTTGTTAACAATCCATACCCTTTATAAAACTTTCTAGTCCCTTTAATAAAGCTAATTTGGGATGCAAACACTGTAAATTCCCCCTTTAATCTTGGAACTCAGTAACCTCCAGTATTTAGTTTCCATGCAATAAGTTAACCTCCAAAGGGTGGAAAAATTTTTAGAAATCCTTGTTTAGAAAGCATTGCAGACATAGGAATAATTAATATATACTTTAACATTTGATGAGACAGCAAGTCCAGAATGATTACTCATTCAAGTTGAAAGGGAGATATAAGAATCTATAGGACAATATTTTAAAGGTACCTATGCAAGACTTACCATTGAGACATGGTCACTTCACTTATTTTCTCTGTAGCAAAGTAGACCTTTGGCATTTCTGGTCTTCCCCAGCTCCTGATCCACAAAACTTAGCCACAGGCTAGACGGGAATTCACACTGCCTTGTCTGATGCTGCATGGCAGCTTTCTCAGTAAGACATCAAAGGAACCTGGCTTTGGTTACCACTTTCAAGTAGACTAGAAATTATTTCCACTAACTGCTGGAGAGCGCCCCTCATGACTGTGCTCCACCATGAACATATTGAATAGCATTGCCAGACAGAAACACATAATAGAGAGCTGCTTTATTTATGAGAAGCTCTGCAAAAGAAAAATTTCAGAGCTTAGAGAGGAATCTCGTGTACTTGCTTCTTATGAGAATATTACCATAAAAATACCACTTCTGTCATCCAAGGGGGAGAAAGCTGTTTTCAGATGTAGGAGAGGTGTCCAGTGGAACCTAATGGTTTGTATAATTCTGGGCTTAAAAAGGACTTCATATTTGAAAAGTGATGTTTGCAGCAATTTTGGCCTATCCCGAAAGAACCACAGTCTTCATCTTAATTAGATAAATAGAAAGGCAGCATCATTGCAATACGATGTTCAAATCTGGAATCAGCAGATTTGGAGGTTCTAGTCAGAACTCTGCCATTGATTTGGCTTCTGATTATACGGAATTCTTAATTTTTACACTTTAATAATAGTAATAATGAGTCATTCATTGATGGCTTACTATGTGCCAGACATTTTGCTAAATGCTTTATATGCATTATTTCATTTATTCCTCTTGTCAATCCTAAGACATGGGTATTATTTATTATCCTCATTTTACAGGGAGGATAGTAATGCCTAGAAAGGTTAAATGCTTCCCAAGAGCACAATGCTAAGAGCTGGATCTGATCCCGGGTTGATGTGGCTATAGAACTTGTTTGTATGCACCAGGCTTAAATTCACAAGCTAAATGAAAATTTAAGGAATATCTTTTTTTTTTTTTTTTTTTTTTTTGAGACAGAGTCTCACTCTGTCGCCCAGGCTGGAGTGCAGTGGCCGGATCTCGACTCACTGCAAGCTCTGCCTCCCGGGTTCACGCCATTCTCCTGCCTCAGCCTCCCAAGTAGCTGGGACTACAGGTACCCGCCGCCTTGCCCAGCTAGTTTTTTGTATTTTTTAGTAGAGACGGGTTTCACCGTGTTAGCCAGGATGGTCTCGATCTCCTGACCTCGTGATCCGCCTGTCTCGGCCTCCCAAAGTGCTGGGATTACAGGCTTGAGCCACCGCGCCT